TTTTTTTTAACATTTAGGCTATTTTACAATTTGTAGGTGTAAAGAACACTTTAGGAAACAACCTTATAAATATATTTTCACCCATTGCCCAATTAAATGAATGAAGAGGTTCTTTTAGCTTTTTGTTTTTCAATTTTGAGATAAGGCCTGGCTAAGTTGCTGAAACTAGCCTAGAACTTGTAACTCTCCTGCATCAGTCTCCCCAACTGCTGTGCCTGGCTAAGTGAGTAAGATTTCATAGTTTAAAAAAATGGAGAACTGCTGGACATGATGGTACATGCCTATAATTCCAGCTGCTCAGGTACTAAGCAACTTAAACCCTGTCTCAAAATAAAAAATTTAAAAAAGGGATAGGGATGTAACTCAGTGGTAAAGTTTCCCTGGGTTTAATTCTAAGTACCAAAAAAAAAATGATGGTTGAGCCCTATTCTTTCTCTTCCCATCCCCCTGCTTATATCTTTGTCTACCTGCCTACTCTAACATTCTGAGTCCCTCAAGGACTCAGAATTCTGAAACCCTTAAGATTTGGGGCAACAGATCACCTGTTTGTCAGGGGCAACAATTTTTTCAGTCTGGTTCCTTGCTACCAAGTGGTCAGGATAGGAAATTTGGGGGAGGGGCTGGGGATGTGGCTAGCGCTCTCGCCTGGCATGCTTGCGGCCCAGGTTCGATCCTCAGCACCACATACAAAGATGTTGTGTCTGCCAAAAACTAAAAAATAAATATTAAAAATATTATCTCTCTCTCTCTCTCTTTCTCTCTCTCTCTCTCTCTCTTTTTAAAATAAAATACATTCTTTAAAAAAAAAAGAAATTTGGGGGCTTTTGCTTTAGCTTAAGAGGAGACATTTGATGGCAGGTGAGCACTACTGGAATCTTCATCTCACATGATCTAATACAGCTGATGATAGAACAGGACCTCAGACACAACACATTCATAATCCCCAGCAAGCCTTTGGGACATCTGGAGGTTGATGCCCTTTAGATAGGAAGAGATGAAATTAATGAGGAGGGTTAATAGGGGATGAACAAGAGAATCAAAGAAGATTGAAGCTAATAGTTCTATAGAAGGGAAAAACCAAGAGAACTATGCCCAAGTCTCCTTCCAAGAGAACTAGCCCTGGGCTGCTTTCTTCCTAAACTTGTGATGCCTGGGTGATTAGTTTATGAATCCGTCCTGATTTGTTTTTTTTTTTTTTTTGGCTGTGAACCCAGGGCCTTGTGCATGCAAGGCAAGCACTCTACCAACTGAGCTATATCCCCAGCCCCCTGACCTGTTTCGTTGACACAAAGACAGCACTCCTCTTGGAGGATTATTTAGACTCCTGTTTTGTAGGACTACGGCCATCAAGGAATGGACCATGTTATAAGTCAATGAGAGCTCAGCCATGGCATCCAGGCCATGAGCAGTCACTAGAAGAAATCAGTGTATAGGAACATTGTGCCAGGTAATATTTAAAGAACTGTGCTGGAGACAAGCCTTTACAGTGACTAAATCTGAGAAGAGCGAAAGGGCTTCATCATGGAATTGTTGTAATTTGGAAGTTACCAATTTTACTTGGAGATTAAGAAGTATAGTCGTCAAAGGTCCTGATTGTGTTAACAGCCAGGTGAGGTTAGGCAAGTAATTTTTAATAGTTTCTCATGTCTATACATCTTAAGATCTGGATTTAAAAAAAAAAAAAAAAACAAGACTCAAATTAGTTCAGGATAAATATGAGTTTGGCAGAGGCTCTTGATAGTTATTGTCAAACATGTATAAGATCCTATTTTACTTTGGATAGGGCTAATGTAAGTATATATTCTCAAGTTACATTTAAAAGGACTAACGTCTTTCCCTTTTAAATGTTCATGCATGACTGTATTTTGACTTTTACTTTACCCTCACATTGGTACATGTGTCTTTGGTTATATGATCTTGCCGGGTATTTGAGACCAAGGAGGTGACCAAAAAGTAACCTCTTTCCTTCCCACTGTTAAAGTGAGCTAAGATTCCTCTGGGTTACTTTTTAGGAAGTATGAAACACCTCTTCACTCCTTCAGTCTTTTCCTCTACCAGTTGTGCCATCTGCCAGGATGAGTCAGAGTCTTGCTGACTGATGACCACATATGGCTTCCCTTGGAAATATTGGAGACATTTCCCTCTCAAGTGACCCTCCTCTGTGCAGAATGATACTGGTTAGCTTCCTTTTCTCTAGGGCCTTCACAATCTCCCCAATTGGGA